CATACACACACACACATATGTGTGTGTGTATACATATATGACAGAATCACAAACCTAGTATGTGACAAAGACAAAAATTAAACTTAGATGTATATATTTATAAATGTAGTATCTATTTATAAAAATCTATGTATACATATACATGTATGTATTTATAAATATACATGTATACATTTATAAAGGTACATACATATATTGTTCAGTGCTCTTGTGAATTTTTCTCTTCAGTGATTATACTTTCAAATCCAGAGTTTTCATTTGGTTCTTATTTGTATTTATTTGTAGTATGTACCTTTAGTGATGTTTTTCATTTAGCATAATTTTCAAGAGATTGATTTAGAGTGTATGTTTCTATCAATGGTTTGTCCCTTTTCATTGTTGAGTAGTATTTCAAGTTATAGATATACTACAGTTTAAGTAGTCCCTTCTTGAAGGAAATTTTGGTGGTTTTGTGTTTGTGTATGTGTGTGTGACAAAGTTTCACTCCTGTTGCCCAGGCTGGAGTACACTGGTGTGATCCCAGCTCACTGCAACCTCTGTCTCCCAGGTTCAAGTGATTATCCTTCCTCGGCCTCCTGAGTAGCTGGGATTACAGATGTGTGCCACCATGCATGGCTAATTTTGTATTTTTAGCAGAGATGGGGTTTCACCATGTCAGGCTGGTCTTGAATGCCTGACCTCTGGCGATCTGCCTGCCTCGGCCTCCCAAAGTGCTGCAATTACAGGCTTGAGCCACCATGCCTGGCCTCCAGTTTTTGATTATTTTAAATGAAGACAATTTAAAAATCTTTGAGACTGAATTCTTAGTTGACAAGTTTTGTTTTGTTTTTTGAGCACTGGATGTGTTATCCCACTGCTTTTTAGTCTTCATTGTTTCCTTGAAAAGTCAGCTGTTAAACTTATTGGGGCTGACTTGTAAATAATGAGCCATTTTTTCTTTTAATGCTTTCAAAATTTCTTCATTGTGTTTGACTTTCAGCATTTTTAGTATGTTGTGTCTTTTTATGCATCTCTTTGCATTTTTCCTACGTGAAATTCGTTGAGCTTCCTAGATATGTAGCTTTATGTTTTTCAGTAAATTTGGAAAGTATTCTGCCAGTATTTTCTCAAATATTTTTTGTTTGTTTATTTCCTTTCTCTTTGTTCTTTCTTCCTGGTACTCCCATTACACCAGTTTTGGCATGTTTAATTGTGCCTCACATTGCTCTGAGGCTCTATTTCTTTTCATTGTTTTTTCTTTTTTTCCTTTGAATTGCATAATCTTTATCACTCTAACTTCAAGTTCATTAGTTTTTTAATTCCTGTTATTTCAAATTTATTGTTGAGTGCTCTTGTAAATTTTTCTCGTCAGTGATTATACTTTCAACTCCAAAGTTTTCATTTGGTTTTTATTTATCATTTTTCTCTCTCTGTTAGTATTCTGTATTTGATGTGATATTGTTATATATCTTCCTTTATTTCTTTAATGGTGATTTTCTTTAGATCTTCAAATATATTTACAATGGTTACTTTGAAGTCTGTATTTTAGATATGGCATTTAGTCACATTCTCACAGACAGTTTTTGTTGTCTTTTTTTTTTAATATGGGTCATAGTTTTCTCTTTCTTTGCATAATTTATATTTTACATTGGAAACTGAAATTTTGTATACTATATTGTAGAAACTCTGGTCCCTGGTCTTTCTCCCCTCTCTCTCCATTAAGTCTTGTTTTAGTTATTTGCTTGTTTACTTGTTCAGTGACTGGCTGGATTGTTTCAGTAAAGTCTATCCTCTCCTATACTTCTGCAGTATTAAGCCTTTAATGTTGCTTTTCAGAAGACACACATAGTGACAATAATTTTGGCAGAGCTTATGTTGTCCCCTTTCCTAAATACATCCAGCTTTTCATCTAATAATTACCAGCTGATTGCTCCATTGTTTAAAAAATGTCCTAGAACATAAATTTCTCTACCGAATAATTCAATAAAATTCAGACTTCTTTGAAGGAATAGTTACTGACATCAGTGTTTGTGATTTGTTATTACCCCAAGAGGGCTACTCCTGGCTCTCTCTTTTTCCTGTTTAGAGGACATATTAAATGATCTTCAGGTAGAACAGTCTATTCTGAGGATGCCAGCCAAGAATATGGGTAAATCCTATAGTGATCTTATGTGGATACTGTATCTCCTGAGTGCTCCCATAAATCTGTATAAGCCTTCATTCATGTTACATCATAATTTCTTAGCCTCCCCACCAGTAGAATATAAGTTTTTTGAGAGCAAAAAAATATGTCTTATGTGTTTTGTTTTCCCTATGGTTAGTGTAGTGTCTTGAATATAATGAATGAC